TGCTGTTCCGGCTGGAGTTTTACAGATATTTCGTATTTCATATTGAAATTTACTAAACACTCAGAAAAATGAAATTCAATCACAAAATCCATTGTATCCATAAATTGAACTCCAATAAATGTGCGTATAAACAATTAACGGATTACCTAATAACAAATATTCGGTATTTTTAACAACATTTAAATAAGACTATAGATTAAATATACTAGTTTTCAAAAGCTATCATTATATTATTATAATTTTTCATTTATCTTTGTTTTACTTTGAAAAAATAAATCTCATTTTAATAATAATTCCTAAATATACATATCTACACACAAATACAGTCCGTTCCTGTTGCTGAAAAAATTTAGGTTTCATTAGAAGCACAAATTGTAACGCTTCTATTGCATCTGTACGTATTATTAAGTAAAGATGTGCAAAATATCTATAATTCACTATGTTAATGCTATTACACTTAAATCATTTGTTCATTGTTATTTTATAACAGACAGCAAATAAACGAGGATAATAAAAAGAAAGAAAGATTAGAAGCATAAATCAAGGTATTAACGAGTCAAACAATTAAGTAATAAAAGTTAGGTTAGGTTAGTTAAACAAAATTAGAAATACAAATTGAGGTATTAAAGAGTCAAAGGAGGCAATAATAAAAGTTAGGTTAGGTTAGTTAAAAAATATTAGAAACACAAATTCACGTATTAAAGAATCAAAGAAGGGATTAATAAAAGTTAGGTTAGATTAGTTAAGAAAAATTAGAAACACAAATTGAAGTATTAAAGAATCAAAGGAAGCAATGATAAAAGTTAGGTTAGGTTACTAAAAAAAAAAAAAAAGTAAGAAGCGCAAATTGAGGTATTACAGAATCCAACAAGGCAATAATAAAAGTTAGGTTAGGTTACTAAAAAAGAAATTAGAAGCACAAATTACGATATCGAAGGGTGAAACAGGTAAAGAATAAAAGTTAGATTAACTTAGGTTAGTTGAAAGAAAAAAGAAAGAGAAACAAATCGAAAGCAGAAATTAAGGTATTAAAGGGAGAAAATAATAAAGGTTGAAAAAGTTTCGAAGGGAATACGTGAAGGAGGTGGTTGCAGGCAAGGGAGTTGTAGAACGACTTATGATGCCGTACACGCGCTAGTCGCGTGCGCCGGAAGGGAAAGGAGACTAAATAGAGTGGTGAGCAACGAGCGTCAGAGGGTAGGCACACGAGCATGCTGAATACGTCGAGTTCCCGGCGATACTGTGTAATGTCATGAAGCATGTACTTACACACTACCGTAAGATTCTTCGAGACGTGGCTTGTGGAGAAGGTCGGCGCGTCCGCCGTAACTTCGCAACTGAACGTACCCGAGAGGGCGAAGTCGACGTCTCGCAATGTTACCTGGCTCTTGTTCGAGTTCTCGGCCTGAAACAGAGCAACGACCAAGGTGTGTGCAAAGTGAATGCAAATGAACATCAACCACTGCGACACGCGTTATCGCGCACGGCCACCAGGACGTTAGAATCTCCCCGCAATCTCCCACCCATCCGCAACCTGCGATTCTCACCGATTAACGATAACTCGATTTACCTGAACCGGTTATAATTCGAATTAAATTCCGCACGGGTACGGGCGTATTTATCCGTGCGTCTCTTTGCCATTCTGTACGAAATTAAACGAGCATACGGTTCATTGACCTTCTTCTCGCTGTTGTCAACTAGATGAAAGAACGTACACACGCTTTATAATCACTGGATTAAACAGATACTTTGCCCGAACTGACAGACAGCGGCGTGCATCGCTTTGTGTTTTTGTATTATACAAAAGGTGTCGCTTTGTGTGTGCGTGTGTTTCTTTGAATAGACGGGGGAAACGTGAGCGCAATAAAGAATTTCGGTTCTTTTGAAATATCGCCCGACTGATTATAACGTTATGGTGCTAATGTGAACTTATTTCGAGGACTGTTTGTGCCTCCCGTTTCTTTATGCTTTATTACGCTTGTGTAGTGTGTTTATTTTGGGAAAATATGGAAATTGTTAATCGTACCGTGGTTTTGATATTTTTAGCTTATTTGCGATCGAGTATCGTGCTGATATAATTGGAAGACCTTTCGTTTTTCATTTCTCGATGCGTTATTGTTTCCGTTACTTCTATTTTGTGAAAATACGAAAATTCGTTGTCATATTTTTATCTCACTTCTGATAGAGTATTGCGCTAATAATTGGAAACTAATACTAGAATTCACAGGCACAAAAACTCATTTACCGAACCGTGTATAAAAACCGTATCGTCGAATATTTATTTTATTTCGAAAAAATTTTGGTAGGAGAGAGTTGCGGAAATTGTGCCAGTTCAGATATTTCATTTTCTATTTTCCATTTCGCAGTAATTTCTTCGTAAATTAATTGTTATAACATAGTTAACCTTTTTCTAAGTTTGACACAGATTCATTTCTTGCAAACCTTTAAGGTACGATTTAAGCAGTCAATCATCTAAGAGTGCTAAATTTACTAATAGAATAATTAGTGCATACCTACATATATTAAATCATATTTTATCAATAACAAATCAGAAAGAAAATAGTCAACATAAAGTAACGATTATGAAAAGAAACATATTTGTAACTAATAGTTAGAAGAAACTTTTGTGGACAGAAAATGATTAAAAATTTGAAGTAAGAGCTTCGCAGATACGATTAATATTGTTTGATCTGTACAGTTTATTCAGTGGTGATATGGAACAATTTATCGAACTGATCTGTACAATTTAAAAATTACATTTCAAACTGTGTTTATCAGTTCTACTAACACTGGCCTTTAGTTTGTATTGGTACAGTAGGATTAATGATAATAAACGTACAGGCATTATAACAGGTATACATGTTACTAACATCAATTAGTAACTAATTTCCGTACTTATTAGTGTTGTGATAATTCGATTTTCCAGCCTCGGACATTATTCAAACAATAATGCACGTTTCGACAAAATGACATAAATCATCATTATATTAATCTAATTACAGCAAATCTTTGTCCGCTATCTCCGCTAAATCGTTGCACGAATCAGTCGATTCCTACTGATTATTAATACCTAAATGATTATTAACGATTCTGCTTACAAGTGTCAGCTGATATTGGATGACTGGTATGTTTAAACAAAAGGTTATTATTTCAAGCGAACTACAACCTGGGCGAGAATTCAATTTGCACCATTGCAATTTATGTGTCGAATTAACAACATCGATCGCGTTATCTAATTAATTGAAATAATTGCTTCTACTCATTTTATTCATACTTCTAACGTTTGCACGTTCTCTTGTAAGTTTTGAAGGTGAAAATATTGTCGTCTAATATTACAAAAGTGAGAGTTTTCGAGGAATGTACAAATTGAATTTTAACATTTTATTATTTATAACACTAATCTCGAAATAAATACTGGACTTTTTAGAGAATAAATGTTTTAAATGATCGAAAAGTCTGTTTCACTGAAGTACAGCGTTGCAGAACTGGAGCAGAACAAACTTCGTCAAATAATTTTTGTTCGATGGAAGATGTTCTTTCAAAAAGTTAACAACAAGGTAATAAATAATGTTTCAGAAGGTCGTTACATTTTCGTGTACCATTACACATGCGTACATGTGCACCTACCGGCCAAAAGTTTGGAATCACTGAGCGCTGCAATTTCCAGAAAAAAGTCAGCGACTTTGAGAATTTTTGATCGTTCGAATCAATTGATACGAGATAAATTGATAAATGTCGAATTGAGATAAACTTCAAATCTATAAAAAATTAGCAGCAGATTTAATATTGATGAAAAGCGGCAGGTGATTACAAACTTTTGGCCGGTGGTGTATATTCCTCTGGCATTAAACGAAATAAAAATAATAACTAGAATTTACAAATATGAGAGAAGGAACGTCGAGTACAATAGATGCAACTGTATAAACAACTTCATTGTTTGTATGTTGCATATCGTGAAATCGATATTTATTATTCATTTCAAAGGCCAACATTGACGGTTAAATCCCACGAAATCTGCAATAGAGATCTTTCACGAAGTTCAGATCTAACGTATACACTGGCGTTCATAAGTATTAGGACACCCGTTATAAGTACCATTTAGAAAGCATTATATGATTTAAATTAAATTTTCCCGCCAGATTCTAATTAATTAATAAATTAGATTTTAATAATTTTGTAAAAACTTTCGAGTGTCCAATCATTTTATATTAAATTTGTAATGACAAAGAGGCTTGCTTCACACTCAGTAAGTAGATTATAGTAGAATTCAGTGGAATTCAGTAGAATATAGTAGACTTCAGTAGAATTCAGTAAATTTCCGTAGGTTTCAAAAGATTTCAATAGGTATTAATAGAATACAGTAGATTTTAACAGAATTCAGCAGATATCAGTACATTTTGGTACATTTAAATAGATTTCAGTACGCTTCCCATTCATTAACTGTCCTAATACCTACGAACAGGAGTGCATCGATGGTCCTTTTTATTTAAACAAACTTTAAACGAACAAATTTCGTGTTTTCAACAGTCGAAGAAATAACTATAAAACTTTAACGCAGACTACCGCCGCGTTGATGTCATAAATTCCACCAATCTAACCTCTAAATTTTTACACCGTCTATAAGAAGAAACTATTATCAGGATGTATTATTACCGCAGTAAATTCGCGTTTTATATTCGTTATCTAAGAGATCCGCGAATATTTTCCCACAATACCGCGTGTTTCTTACGCGTTTCACTTCGGAATGTAAAATTTCATTTCGGTAATTCCACATACGGCCATCTTCGGTTGCGCAATAATCGATATCTCTTAACCCTTTCGGTGTTAAATTATTTCCTTTTCTAATTTGTTACACATCTACCGATCGTCGTATCTCTAATGAATACTAAGATCAATTTCTGAGTCGCTCAAGCGAGACACGTTCGACCCACTAATCGCGAAAGGGTTGAACAATCGAATCCCAGATTACGAAATGTACGAAAAATTCACCGTTTGCTCCGCGTTTATAACACGTTGAAAAAGTACAGATCGCATTGTCACAAGGGGTAGATTTCTTCTTCTTCTTTTTTTTACTAAATGTTTCATCGGCGAGCAGGCAGCGTGGAGAGCAGCACTCGAGAAAATCGTCATCTTATCAGGAATTACCCTACACTCGAGTAAATTGGCTCGATGAAGCAAGCGCGAAAGGCGAGACATCGGAAGCAAGATAGCAGTGAAGGCGGAGCTGAAGCATTCCCAGGGGAAAAGTGGCAGTGGATCGTTTTATCGGAACGGGCAAAGGGAAAATATGCATAATTAGCGGGATTTAAATAACGAAGCAAGAAGATATACCTGCAGAGAGAGCGAAAGAGACAACGGTTAAAGAGGAAGAGACAGAGCTTTTAACGATTACGAAGGAAACGAAGCTTAAAAACGAGCCGGAGTTTTTTCTTCGCGTTAATTTATGTGTGTCAATGAACACGACAGATATTAACAAGTGAGTGTGGAGATCTAGAGGTGGAGAAGAGAAAAGCCTTCGTTACAGGACTTCGACGTTCTTCTCGTCGTTAAGTTGGTATTACGGATTCAACGCTATAATCGTTCGTTTCTTCTTTCGTACCAGAAATTATTGTTAGTGCGATTCATTCGAATTCCTTGATGCTCCGGAAGAAGAATATTACTTCAAATGCTATTAGAAGCAATACAAAACAGAAACACCGCTACAGATTACAGATGAAAATTCTGCAAAGATTCTTGTATTGTTTATTAAATTGTAAATAGTGAAGAAGAGATGAAACTTATAAATACAGAAGTGAAAATTATTATTTCACTATTTCACTAATTATTACATTCTGTCGTTAAAAATATTTATACGAGTTTACAACTACCAAATTGAGGAATTTTTGAAGTAATATTGTATAATAATTCTTATTTTTTTTTATATGTGGGTTTTACGTCGCATCGACCTCTCTTGGTCTTGTTATTTTCCTTTTTGTGGTGGTTACATTTTACTGTAAATTTCGGTTTCCTTCAAAAACTTTAGAGTCTGATAATTCTTATTATTGAGGCTTTCGGATGTAAGCTGTAGTCACAGTGGATGCGTGTTCAGTCGAATTGACGTTCCGACGGAACGAAATAGACTGCAATACATACGCTCATAAAAATCTCCATGCATACAATCAAGGACAGGAATACGTGGACACCTTTCCAAGTAGAATAGCTTTTTTCTACATTAAATCAAACAGCTTGAGCTTTTCGAATGCGTCAGAAGGTTTATTAGTTTACTACATGACGTGTAAAAAAAATTTGAAGACATACACTACCGGCCAAAAGTTTGGAATCACCGAGCATTGCAATTTACACAAAAATTTGCAGAAAAAGGTCGACGACTTTGAGAATTTTTTATCGTTCGAATCAATTGATATGAGATAAATTGATAAATGTACAATTGAGATAAACTTCAAATCTATAAAAAACTAGCAGCAGGTTTAATATTGATGAAAGGTGGCAGGTGATTCCAAACTTTTGGCCGGTAGCGTAGATCTACAAAATGTATATTTGAAATTTTCATTGCAAGCCCAGGCAAAAAAGTTGTAAACAGCGACCTTTGCAATTTTCCTCGCGATCTCCATAAATTGCAATTTTTCGCAAATTTGTTCTACACGTCGTCCAGTAAACTAATTCCTCTAACTTCTCAAGAAACTCAAGTCGTTTGGCCAAATTTGAAAAAAGTTACTCCATTTCGAAGGGTGTCCACATATTTCTGTCCTCGACTGTATTTCATTGTTTCGACGTATGTACATATGTACATACACGAGTTCGTCAGAATGTCAGTTCGTCCGAATTCGCATCCACTACAACCGCAGAGCCCAGGGCGTTGAACACTGTTTTTCGTTCGCAGTTTTCGCAGAATATGACGCGACCATTGTACATTACTCTCGATTACCGTAGACATGCATAGAACAGACGCATATATACGTCGTGACGATAAACGTAAAAGCAGGGCGTGTACCTACTGCGTTCGCAGATCGTTCGTTCGGTGCACGAAACACAGAACAACAAGGACAACAGAGAGGCTAGATAAGCTTGTTTTCAGTCGCGCAAAACGCATGCACACACAGGATGGATACCGCGCTGCGTTCTCTTCGTTTGCGGAAATGCGTGGAACCGTTGCGCCGCCGGGAATCGTGCATGGAAATGTTCGAACGATGATAAAAGCGGCCTGTTTTACGGCGATTACAGCGGTCAAGGATGATGTTAACGAGCCTCGGCCAGCACGATGTGATAAAACCACATATTTGGATCGTTTCTACCCAACCGGAAGGCTAATGCTACGTAACATCCACTGTTGCTTGTTGTTCTGACGACTGGTGTAGTGGAATACCAGCCCCATACGAAAATACATCGGAAATTGAGCTTTGCTTGATTCGTTTATGTCGCTGGAACAGTTTTGCATTTCGAACTTCTCTTTTCTTTCATTTTTTTTTTGGAGGGTTGTTTTACTCGGTTTTTGAATGATATCGACTGTGCTTTATTAGGTTGGTGCACACGAAGCATCGCGTTTTATTACAGAATGAAACTTCAGATACCGACATTGTGCTTCTTCGAAAAATGATGCATTTAAACAAAAATATTTCTTTATTATATCAAATTTATACAAATCGTTGGTCTTTGAATGAAAAGGTTCTTTGAACGCTGCTTTTAGTGTCTTTATTCTGGAATACTTTATTTGTTAAAAAAATTGTTTGTCGGGGAAAGAATTCTTCATTTAATGGCCCTATCTCATTTTCCAACGAAAGTTGCCAATTTTGAATTTCACACGCTAACATCCAACGTCTCGTCGTATCAAATCGTATTTATCGATACAAAATTCTTATGATTTTTATTTGTAAATCTGTGATGAATATTTAGTAGACTCGATAACGTTGACTTTAATGAACCCACGTAATCGTCAAACTAACGTCACATTGTATTTACCAAGCACTCAATAATGGCCAATGCGTAGGAGCATATCTAATCAACTTACGAAAGGTTTTCTACGTAGTCTGGCACAATTTCCCGACACACTTAACGACAATAATATCGGATATGATGCGTAACGAAAATTTGACAACAGCAGACAGATAGAGAACTGTGCCATATTTCCATATTTTTAGACTGTTTTTAAATAACCGATATCTCTGTTGAATTGATCGTAAATGTACAATAGCTTGATCGCTACGCTTTGCATACTTAACACCAGTAAACCATTGTATCTGCGAGTCTTTTGTATACTACGCGAAAGTTACGAGCACGGAATAGCTGTAGCAGAGAATAATTCTTGCGTTCTTACATTTGGAAACACCATCAACTTTGGAAACTACGTATAAAGCTTTAATACTAAAGTTGTAATTGCAGGAATTTCGAATTGTATTTTATGCGTTCGATCATATAAAATTTAACGAATCGCCCTTTTGCCGAGCTTTTCAATTTTGGGACGAAAAGAGAAGTACCTTGACTGGGAAACAAAACTCGTTTTGCTTTAAAAAAAAAGGGGGGGGGGGAGATTGTGATTCAATAAGCTCTATTTTAAATATTGTCGGAGTATAAAAAATCGAATTAGAAAAATTGCTATATTATGTAACCAGTTTACCTTTTTATTTACTAAATATTCAACCTCACAGCACAAATGTTTTTTTTTTAATTAAAATCTCGTATACATTGTACCTGCATTTATTATCAAATCATTTTTTATGTGACATATTACATACCGTATATGGACATTCTAAAATTCCAACAATAAATTAGCAAAGAATGATATTATTGAATTTTTCGTAATATTACAGATATTGAAAAAAAAGTTTGAAAAAACAGAAATCAAAAATATCAATAAAATTCGTTACAGAGTCGAGGCGTATTGATATCAAATTAATTAATACCAGTTCCAAAAGATTTATCTTGCATTTCAAAGCAATATACAGGGTGTCTGTTTTATCTCAATACAGCGAAATACCTTTCAAGGAAGTGATGTTAGGGAAAAAATGTTTTAACAAAAGTTGTTTGGTACAGAGGGAGACATTATGTGGTATAAATATTTTTTTTGTACCGGGTATGGTGGGAAAGATTTCAAAGTCAGTTTAATTTTTTTAAATGGAATGCTATATTTTTTTATACATAATATGATAGTGTATGTTATGACGAGACCAACGAGGTGTGAACAAAGTCATTTCCTTTGATAAAACAGACACGCGACAGTGAGGAACGTATGGTGATTCGGCTCCCGGTTTTTCGCAATTTTACGACCTTCCATGAAAGGCAATGACTTTGTTGGCAGCTCGTTGAACTCGTTTTGACATACACTATCGTATTATGTATGAAAAAATATAGCATACTATTTAAAAAACTTAAACTGACTTTGAAATCTCCCCCATCATACCAGTTACAAAAAAAAAATATTTACACCACGTAACGTCCCCCTCCATACCAAACGACGTTTGTTAAAATATTTTTTTCCTAACATCATTTCCTTAAAAGATATTTCGCTGTATTGAGATAAAACAGACACCCTGTATATTACTTTATCGAAAACTTTAAATATTGAAATGTAAATAAACAAGTTCATAGATTTGAAAACTTCGTTACGTATTAAAATTGTATGTACGTATATACAGTGTAACGTATAATAAATCACCCGTTTTGTATTGCTCTCCATTTTTATGAATAATTTATAAAAATATCTTTCATTTATAATGATTTTGTAAATAATATATACCGTGATTGTTTATGCTATCATTCAGCTGTACGATCAATATGTTTATGTTCCAATAACCAGTCCTCGATTTATTCGAATAAAAAACCTACTGTACCAATAAATCATTTTGCCAATCATAAATGGCGCACAGTATTTACAGTATTTGTATGAAAAAGTTGGCTAAAATTATTGGACTAGTTTTAATAGAGGCAAATGCATTTACTTAGAAATGATGAGACAATTTTTGACATGATTTATTTTATTACGAAATTTTCGTATTCAAACTCTCAATTCGAGAGTTAAATACGTAAGAAAGGAAAACAAGAATTCACCAATTTCAGCTTTAACTCGCAGAAAATTAAAAAGAATAAGAATTGTATTTTAATAATAACAGAAAGACCAAATAAACAAATATCCCTTTTATATACACTTCTTCTTCTGCCTAAATTCTGACGTCACAAAAGTGGCCGTTGTGATACTTCGTTTTAATAATAGTGAAAGAAAAAAAAACACATTTTGTTGGTTTTTAATTAAGGGGTTAAACCAGCCCTTGAGACTGAAAATAATACATAATAGAAAAATTTGATTTCTTCAAACCTCAGAGGTGGTCTAACCCCTTGATATTTCCTCTTCCCCTTATTCTCCAAATAATCACATGTTGTTATTAATTGAGACGTGGAATATTGAATTTTTATTATACACCGTGTATTCAAATTTAATATACACCACCTGCCAAAAATATGGTATCATTTTTGGGACAAAAGTTAACAATCTTGAGAATTTTTTAAATAATTATTTGTCAATCAAATCAATCGAAACGAGGTAAATTGCTACAGATCTCCACAACATCAATCTCAAATCTACAAATAATTAATAACAGATTCAACATTGGTATAAATTGGCCCCAAACTTTTGCAAGGACTTACAACTCCGAATGTTGCACACATTTCAAGTCTCTATTAACGTTTTCGGACAGCCAAAAGATGAATAAAGGCACCAACATCGTAAATTTCTTTCTCCCCCAGAAAATGAAATTCACGAAATCGGCCGAAAAGTACAAATGATCAATTCAAGCAAAAAAGGGAGAAAAATCCAATTTTCTCAAACCTCAGGTGTCGTCTAACCTCTTGAGCTTGAAAGTTTGCACGTTGGCCAGCTTTTCATAAATAAAACACTCCACTGTGCGACGTGCACAGGAATGCACGCAGCGCGACGAAGAAGAAGAGGAAGGGGAAGAAGAAGAAGAAAAAAAAATATTGACACTTACGTCAACGTAGATCCCGGTAACGTTGAAGAATTTTGTGGTCGGCTCCTCGGAGGGTGTGTAACGGTAGAACTCATACCTGCCACGGTACCACTTGAGCGAGTAAAGAGGAGCGTTCTGGAGATCGTAATGGCAGCGCAGAATCACCTTCTGACCACGTCGCACTACCTCCGGAACTACTTCTAGGCTGACATCCCGCAGGCAGCTCGCACCTTTGTGGGAAATGAGAACAGGAACGGAGCATTAAGTCTAGTGTGCATCATTAGTCCGCTTTTACTCCTCGCGCCGGAGGTTGCACAGTACGCGTCAGCGAGAAATTGCAATTCCACCGAATGACAATTCCTCTCGCTTCCTCCATCCTAACCCATTCTATCTTCCTCTTTCCTAACCGTACACACAAGCACGCGCGCACATAGAGACACACGGCTACACTAACAAACATTCAAACACTAGCATACAATTTTTCTTCTCGCTTCTCCCGTCATCCATCTACCTTCCCTCCTCTCCGCCCTTTTACCATATACCCTCGATCAACATTCTCTTCGCCATCATTCCCTCCTCTTCCCTCCTCCGCCCCCATCAACCCGTTCTTCCTTCCGGTGGCTTTCTCCTCTTTTCCTCGAACTGATGTGCATATACCATCTCCCACCAACCCCCCTTTTTTTTTTTGTATTTTCCGCTGACGTTTCGTTCACTTGGATTATCGACGATTCGACCTATTAAAGCCCGGAGGAATTGAACTGTATACGTCATTCATATTAAAACAGGGAGCGGAGCTTTTTGCTGCTTCTTCATGTCGCTGCAGGATGAAACCTCTTATTACATACTCTAGCTTCCGGCTATACGGAAGTAGGTAGACGTTGCTGAGCCACGCGAATAGGGACGAAACTCTGCGGGTTGATTTTGCTACCTCGAAAGAGAGAGATTTGAGAGAGAGAGAGAGAGGAATGTGAGAAACATCCACTTGATATTATAGCGGTCGTATTAGTTTTCGAGGAGAGGAATCGCGAGGAGTGTGTATGCTTGTTGATGAAACGTATCGAAGAATTGAGAAGTTAATGGCAGAAATGATGTTGAATTTTTTGGTGTGAAGGTGGGTTTGTTGGGTATTTGAGGAGGATCATTCGTTTAGATGTGATTGGGTTTTAAGATTGTCAAACATTGGTTTGGAAGGTTTTTCGCTGACGAAGTAGTCGAGATTTCAGATGGAAGTTCATCTGAATGTTATACTTAATAATTATTTTCAGTACAATTTTGTTCGTAAGTGTTAGGACACTTGGTGAATGTGAAGAGTACTGAAATCTACTGAATTCTATTGAATCCACTGAGCTCTACTGAGATCTACTCAATTTTACTGAAATCTGCTGAGTTTGATTGAAATCTACTGTATTCCTCCAATATCTATTGAAATCTTTTGAAAACTGCTAAAATCTATCGAATTCTGCGAAAATCTACTAAATTTGACTAAAATCGGCTTACTAAATGTGAAGCAACCATCTTTGTCATTACAAGTTTACCATAAAACTAATAAATCGAACAAGTTAACTAAAATACTTTCTACACGATCATAACGGGTGTCCTAATACATACGAACAGCACTGTACGTTTTTACATTTCTCCCAAAACGTGCAATTCAAGTATACACCTAAATAGAAACCGTTGCGTTTTAATTGTACTTTTCAAGTTTACCTTGCAGTACCTGAGAAAAAGGCTTAAATAACTATCTTTTATTTTTGAATTACGTAAACCTATGTCCCCTTTAAAAAGTCATAATTATCAGAAAAAGTGGCCAGATATATATTTTTACTACGCTGACTACAGGTACATGCTCAAATTAGCATAAGGAGGGACACCACCCTGAGGCGTCTAAAAGTATGTAAAGTTTGGGAATTTTTTTCACAGATAACCACTAAATGAAAAGTTTCAATTTTTGTCAGAGGACATAACTGTATCTTCTAGCTTTCCTCTCCAATGTTTAAAAGGTGAAACTGTTACAAAATGGCGGAGTTATTGCGAAATCTGTTCTGATATAACATCGATTACTAAGCAAGGGTTGAAACGTTTCAAATAAAAAATTCTTTTTGATTCATAAATAAAAACGTATAACCTACAGTGTAGCTTACGATTTATTTGATATCCGAATTATTTAATTTTTCAGAAACGTTTAAATTTGATTTTTCCGATAAAAAGATATTTTCCCTCTTCAAACTGCCACCGTTTCTATAATAATGATAATTTTCAAAAAATTAGAATTTTTTATTTCAAGCTATCCGTTCCGGCCTGCTAGCGATGGCTGCCAGCAATGGATATTCCAGCAGAAGAGGTTTCGCAACAACTTCACCATTTTACAACATTTTTACTGTTTAAAAATTGAGCAAAAAAACTAAAAGTTAGATTCGTATCCCCAGCAAAAACCGAACCTTTTCGTTTAATGATTCCTTGTAAAAAAAATTCCCAAACTCTTCCTTCTTTCTTTAAACCCATCAGGGTGATGAACCCTCTTAGAAGACTATTACAAATCGCAAAATAGTAACATTTACAACGTCACAGTTCAATACCAACCTATTTCAAGTATAGATTTGGAAAAAACGTAGGAAAGGAACGGAAGGAACTTTCTCGAAAAGGTTCGAAACAGAAAACACGGTAGACTTTTCTTTGTAGATCGCGTGACTAGACTGAAATACGACCGAAATCGAAGTTTCTTCTGAAAAGTAAAACAATACGAGCTTCTTCGCGTAAATAAAATAAACCTTATTTTACGCTTTCCAATTCTTTCTCCTATCCGTTGTAAAATACAAAATGCTTCAACGAACTTCTAAATGGTCCATATCTTATTTCTCAACCACTGCAAATCATTCATCCAAACGACGATTATTCAACTCCGCTCAATGTTCGTAATTGGATGAACGTTAAAATAGAAGTGTTTATAAGTGACTTGTATCGTTCTGTTACACCCTCAAATATTTTCATTCTTAGTCCTCAGTTTTATCTGTATTCACAACTAGTCACCCAGTTTCACCGTTACTCATACTGGACTCTTTTCACCTTCCAACTCTCTTGCATAGTCACACCCCAAAGTCCATCTTCCCAGAACCCTTAAACAGCCCTATTTTCTCCATTTCCGCATTCATTCTCTATTTCACTGCGCGCACGTCACGTATCGTCAAAATCTCCGTCAAATAAAGTTCTGTTTCACGCAACGACGATCCCTAAGTGTTTTAACTCAGCGATACCCCAATATCTGCTCCTAGTTTCGAGGAATTGGAGCAAACCGGGCATTACAGTACCCCAAGATTGACTCTACTAACTCTAGAAATTCTCAAGTTCCACAGTTCCCAAATTCTACCGTTGAAAAGATCGGGGAATCAAATTCTACATTTCGTAATTTCTAATGGTCGAGAAGTATCATTCATCAGTGGGAAAATTTACCGAAGATTGATTCTTCTGTACTCTAGAAATTCCCAAATTCCAACGTCGTCGAGGCAAAAGTTCACTAATTTTTAATATTACACGCCCTTAGTCCAACGTGACCTAATTAGGCTTGAAAACTGGTGTTCTCTGAACAAATTGTCATTCAGGCTAAAGAAATGCGTTATTGTTCAGAATCAGTCGAGAAAGGAACATTATCACTTATAATTATACTTTAAATGGTAGGTCTACGACTTAACTTTTATTGAACACATTAAGAACATTACTGCTCGCATCAAGATACAATGGAAAATCGACGTGAGAACGCGCGTTTTGTTTATTCCAAGCTATCGAGTACGATTCGGAAATATTTTGTTAAAGTGCATTCGCCGCTATTACGCCAGCCTCTACAAGTAATACATAATGTAAACTGCGTTCCGCATCGCGGGATATTTGATCGATATCGCTCGATTACTTCTCAACAAACAAACACCAACACGCACACACCTCTGTCGTGACTTTGTGCGTGAATTTTGGACGTGAAATTGATGTTTTCTGGCGTTAAAAATTTATTCGGTGTGAAATCGAACGGGAAAAGGGGGGGAAAGTACGATAGAGAAATAAATTTTTGGAATCGTTTCCTCGTCGTTAATTTCCCTTTACGGCAAGTTCATGAGTATACAACTGGCGTTGGAATTGATTTCTCTAGAAAGCTGCTCTCTACGATTCAGAGTTCGTGACAAAATGTGGGCAAGGATGAGACAAAGTCGCGGAAAGTTTGTCGAAACTTTCGCCTCTTCAAAACGAAACGCTTTGAGGGATAGAAACTGTTTGTTTCTTAATTTTGCTTTCGTTGTTTCGTTACGATAGAGTTCAACGAATGAAATGTAATCGATGTTAGCGGCAGCCTTTAAGACTGCGCGTAAATTTATTTCAGATTCTGTTAAACGAAATGGTAACTTACTTATGAAAATGAAAAAGAAAACTTAAATAAGTCTAGATGCTACTGTACGCGGTCGAATTATTTCTTTAACTTTTACATCGACCACAGAGTTTAGTAGTAATCAGAAAATTTGTAACTTTTCGCGTAACAGATGTAAACATTGTTCAAAAATTGCTGTCACTTGGCGCGCCGTATTTTCATCGAGCTTCGCGCAAAAGTGTCCAGAGGCATTTGTCACAGCAAGTCGGCGAAAAATAAATGAAAATCCTTTGCGTACAAAAGCCAAAGGCTGCGAAGTTGGAGGAGCATTTCCTCCTTTCATTTCGAATTGAAAGTAATTCTGGGAAATGTAGGCAGGTACATGGCGCATGCTAAAAGTTTCAGGCGACTGCTTTTGAGGATTACGATGTTCTCAATCTCTGTTTACCTTTTACTAGTTTCACGCTGTGCAGCTCGATCCACGAAAAAATGTCTTGCTTTTCAAACTGAATCTATTTGTACGCTGCAATGCAACCTTTTAATAAGTAGTTTCAATGAGTATGTAACGCAACTTGCTGCGATTCAATACCTCGAATAATTCCCTTATTTTTGGAAAAATGATAAAAACGGTTCTGGAGCGTGTACAACGTCAAATAGGCCACCTAATTATCTTCTATAGCTACGGTCGTGCGAGAAAACTTTTATACATAGTTTAGGAAGAAACATTTTCGAAAATAAGAGGAAGTTTCGCATTTGACTAAAAATTTTAGAGGTCAAGATCATTTCAAGGTGCTGCTATCATGCATGTTTAACCCTTTGCGCTCGAGTGGCGACTGAGAGGCGACATTAGTGTCTACCACTTGGTCAAAAATTGATTTCCCCGAACAACAGGTCTACAGGCCTCTCGTAAATGTCTAAGCAGTGAAACGGTTTGAAAGAACCAATCTTTAATGAACTGTCGCAAGATCTTGCGACGTTAAACAAATATGATTTGCAAATTGCAGCTAAAAGATCTTCGAGTGCAAAGGGTTCAATGCACATCAATGTCTGCTCCAACAGAAAAAATATATATATATATTC